CAACCGACGCCACTCCTCTTGGGACGATCCACGACTCTCGCCACACACTTCTCTCTGTGTACAAGTGTATTACAAAGTGAATCTCACAATAAGCACAAATACAAAGTGTTTGTTCTCTACAATAGATGAGAACGAATTATAAGCTCACTCTCTAAGTTACACAATCCCACAACCCAATTATACTATGAATGTAAATACAATAAGCTCAGTGATTGTGTATGTGTAAACAAAAAGAAAATAAAATCAACTAAACTCAATATGAACACTAGCTTAATAAAATAATAATCAAACAATATGAAATATAAAGCTAGATTGAGTTTAGAAAACTTCTCAATAGATGACAAGAGATGGAGGGAGAATAGTTGATTGCTCAAACTCCAATAGATGATCTCCTCAAGCTCTTGTGAAATTGAATTCTTAAACTCAAACACCCAATTGCTTAAAAGCTTCTAAACAAACATTAAACAAACTTAAACCCTTGTTTAAAACTCTTTAAACTTGTTTAAAACATTTCTTAAGTGCCCTTAGAAGTATGAGGGCATGGAGTATATATAGGCTCATGAAACAAGCCCAAAAACCCAAGAAAATCAAGTAAAAAAGACAAAACAATGGATATATTAAAATCTGAAAAATATAGCCATTATGCTACAGTAACTTCTAGAGAGTTTGGCGGTCGATCGCGGGTACTGTAGCACTATATATCAACTTTGTAAAATCAGTTAAAAATAGTAAAACAGCTCCAAAAATTATGAAATTATGTGGGTAGGTTCTAGACATGTAGAATGACATGTTAGAGAAAGAATTTCTGAAAAATTATTTCCCAGTTGAGAGAAATAAATATTTTAACACAGATATACAGTTTCTGAAAATCTGCTGACATACATGATTTTGTAAAATCAATTGGGCACAGTAAATCAACTCCAAAAATAGTAAAATTTTGAGGGAAGTTTTTAAACATGTATATAAATATGTCAAAGAAAGAATTTTTTGAATATCACTTCCCATTTATGAAAACTTATCTGTTTTGTAAAACATGCACGAACATGTGCACGAACAAAAACATGATTTTATAAATTCCATTAAACATAACAAATCAATTCCAAACTTGATGAAACTTTGCGAAATGTTTATAAGTATAAAAACAAACATGTTAGAAAAAGAATTTCTCAAATTGAATTTCTATTTGTGAAAACTCATGTATTTTGCAAGTGTGTCCAAAGCATGAAAACTCAAAACCATGCATGTATATATATAACTATATATATACATAGAAACCAAATACGTGTGTGTATATGATATTGAGCTTAAGGTACTTAACACACATAATATAAAATCTAAACTAGATTACCCAAGCTTGATCTTGATCTTCATTGTAGCTCAACTTGGTACACATGCGGATGGCCAACCTCCATTGGATATGATCGTTGAAGCTCTATTCCATCCATCCTCCAACTACGTTGTTTGTCTATAATAAATAAGAAAACACAAATACTAGACAAACAACATTAGTGATAAATTGTTTGTTAAACATCATCAAAACAAGAAGGCCAACATTATACTCACCCATGCATATTGATAGGGGGAGCTTTCGCTCTTTTCATACCTTTGTCCCTTTTTGATGTTGTCAAAGGGGGAGAAATATTATGAGTATATTCTTTCTTGTTTATATGCATGTGAATTATAATTTATACATTCATTTCCTTTCATGCATATATCCTTTTTGTAAATTATTTATCATCATCAAAAAGGGGGAGATTGTTGGCCTTCTTATTTTGATGATGTTTAACAAATAATTTACTCCTAATGTTGTTTGTCTAGTATTTGTATTGCGCCATAACGACGATATCAAATGGAGGTTGGCGGAATTGTGGAGTGAAGCATCGTACAATTCAAGTTCAAGATCCAAGTTTAGCTTCATCCGCAACGTGTACCAAGTTGAGCTACAATGAAGATCAAGATCAAGCTTGGGTAATCTAGTTTAGATTTTATATTATGTGTGTTAGATACTCTAAGCTCAATATAATATACACACACATTTTATTGGTTTCTTCGTATATATATATAATTGGATTTTCTCACAAAATGAGCTATTTTGAGAAAACTTTGTGATATTGTTTTATTGACCATGTTTACTTTATATTCATGTGTTATAATGTTTATGAAGACATTTCATAAAGTTTCAATATGCGTTTAAACTCTTTTTGTCAAAAACATGTTCTTAACAAATTCATATTCATGCATGTTTTTACAAAATAATGAGTTTTCACAATTAAGAAATAAAAATTGAAATTTTATTTTTGTACCATGTTTTTTTTCATGTTTATAAACATTTTGCAAAGTTTTATCAAGTTTGGAATTGATTTGTTATGTTTAATGGAATTTACAAAATCATGTTTTTGTTCGTGCACATGTTCGTGCATGTTTACAAAACAGATGAGTTTTCATAAATGGAAAGTGATATTAAATAAATTCTTTCTTTGACATGTTTATCTACATATTTAGAAACTTGACTCAAAATTTTACTATTTTTGGAGTTGATTTACTATACCCAATTGATTTTACAAAATCGCGTATGTCAGCAGTTTTTCAGAAACT